GGTTTGGTCCCCAGTTGGTGTATGTACAAGGGCAACCAGTCAATGTTTCTTTTTCACAGCAGTCTTTCTTTCTCCCTCCCTTCCCATCACTTTAAAAAATAAATAAATTTAAAAATAAATAAATTAGTGGGGAAAAAAAGAATACACTTCTTTTGGAAGGTCCAAGATTATGACAGAGTAGATAAAAATAACACTTACCTCCTCTCAGGAACAAACCAGAATTACAACTAAATTAAAGAATAATGAACCAGAATAACCCACTGAAGATTAGCTGAATAGAAGACTCATACCCAAGGATTTACACAAGAAGCTATATTAAGACTGGTAAGAAGGGTGGAGATGTGAAAAGGGCCAGCCTTGCACTTGTATGCAGTGGTTGAGAATTCAGAAGAATATCTCAGGTGCAAAGAATACCCCTAAGGAGTGAGGGATCTCAAGACCAGAGCACCAGAGCACCAGAGCTGGGAACTGGAGCCCACATAATGTCTGGCTGTGTAAGTCAGCAGAGATTCTGTCCACTAGGAAAAGATCAGAGTTTGCTAGAAACCCACGTGTCCTCTGAAAGGGACTGCACAAAAATCTTGTTGATGGCCACTCACTCTGGGCTCTTGCAGAGGGAAGATGGCTCAAAGCAAACTGGAGTCCTATGGGGAGATATCAGGTTATGTGGATTCACGGAGAGGGCTGAAGGAACAGCTGCCAAAGTTGCCAAGGTCCCTGTGTTGAGTTGTGCTCCCACACAACCCAGAGATGTCATGTATCCTATGTTGAACACTCTCCTCTATCAAGCATCAACCTGGAGAAATTCAGTAGTTCCTCCTCCTGACTCCCAGTCACCCAGCCCTGTCAAGCTCATGTTCAGCAGAGAAGTATGCCGGATGGGTCTAGCCTGGATCCACAGTGCAGTCTTTATTGGAGGGCTCCTGAGGAGATCTAGGTAGACTCGGGTTGTGTCAGAGATGCACAGGGTGAGGCTGAGTTGTGTAGCAATAGGGAAGGGGCCATTTCCCCCCCTCACGCCAACTAGCACCACCACTGTGATGCAGAGCCCTCCTTCCACCTGGCCAAATAATGGTCTCTTTTAGCATGATTGACTCTGTTGGCCTCACCCTGATAACTCCCTTAGATTGCACCCTTCCACAATGGTCCACAAGTGGCAGCTAGCCTTGGTATACAAAGACTTGCTGAGTGGTCTCAGACCCAGCACTGGTGCCAAATTTCAATTTTGTATCAACCTGATAAACAGCACTCACCCTACCTGATGCTCAATGAGAACTCATGCAAATCATGTGCTAACAGAGGCTCTTTCAGAGATTGGGCCTAACAAGCAGCCAGCAGTTGCAGGCATAACTCAGAGTGCCCTGGCCATTTGCTGACATGCTTCTGTGCTAGGATCTGGTGGAAGCTGACCTTGTTATGCAGTTTGGTCCCTTCCGCATGTACCCAAGCCCAGCAGACTCAGATACAAACTAGGATCTCTTTGTAGCTCAAAATAGGTAACCTAGGGTGTCAGAGACAGAATATGACATTGACCTGCACTGGATTCCGTCTCAACTCCCCCTGACCCCCAGAAGTAACGCACATGGTGGCAAGCTTCAGACCGAATCAGAGCACAGTCCAATTAGCTCCACAGAGGCATACCCAAAGGGATATCTCCTCAAGCACCAAACCCTGCTGGGGGAAATTCTGCTTCATGGAGTCTTCCCACACATAGTAGACTAAACACTGTGGTTGGGGTCAATCCTCATAGTTAGCCAGTATAAGGCTCAATCCCACTCATGGTCAACCAGAGCAATCAACACCCAACTAAAAAAAGGCTCAAACATCCCCCACAAAAAACATTCCTGAACCACCTGGATCAGTTGACAAGATAGATTGTGCCACTGAAATCCATAAGACACCTACTACATAAGGATCCCTAGGAGAAAAGGGAACCCTACTACACTACTGGTGGGAATGCAGATTGGTGCAGTCACTATAGAAAGCAGTATGGAAATAACTCAAAAAAAATAAAAATGGATCTGTCTTTTGACCCAGCCATCCCACTTCTGGGAATATATCTGTAGGAACCCAAAACACTAATTTGAAAGAACATAAGCACCCCAATGTTCATTTCAGCATTATTTACAATCACCAAGATATGGAAACAGTCCAAGTGTCCATCAACAGACATGTGGCTTAAACAACTATGAGACATGTACACAATGGAATACCACTTCACCATAAAAAAGAAGAAAATTTTACCCTTTGTAACAGCATGAATGGACTTGGAGAAGATTATGTTAAGTGAAATAAGCCAATCAGGTAAAGACAAATACCATATAATTTTACTATATGTGGAATCTAATGAACAAACTGTACTAACAAAGAAAACAGAGACAGACTCATAGAGAGCAGAATGAAAACTAAGGTAGGGAGGGGAGGTTTGGGGGTGGAGGGGTTGAGCAAAAAGGAGAAAGGATTTGTGGACATGGACAACAGTGTGGTGATTGCTGGGGGGGGTACAAAGGGACTAAATGACAATGGAAATAAATATAATTTTAAAAAAGATTTAAATGGAAAAATATATTTAACAATAAATACATAAATAAAAAGAAAACAATGGAACTGCCTTATGACCTAGCAATGCCATTCCTGGGTATATATCTGAAGAAATTCAAACACTATCAAAACAATACCTGCATCTCTATGTTCACTGTGGCATTACTCATAATATAATAGCCACAATATGGAAGCAATCCAAGTGCCCATCAACAGACAAGTGGATAAAAAATGTGGTATACATACACAATGGAGTATTACTCACCCATAAAAAATAAGGAAATCTTACCATTTGCGACAACAAGGATGAACCTAGAAGGTATTATGCTAAGTGAAACAGTCACTATATGATTTCACTTATATGTGGAATCTAAAGAGCAAAATAAACACCCAAAAAAAGGAACATAATCATAGATACCGAGAACAGAATGACAGCTGCCAGTTGAGAGCGGCTTTAAGGTACTGGATGAAAAAGGTGAAGGGATTAAGAAGTACAAATTATTGGTAATGAAAGAGTCATGAGGATGTAAAGTACATCATAGGGAATATATTGTCAAAAATATTATAATAACTACTTTTGGTGTCAGATGGGTACTGGAAATATCAGGGTAATACTTTGTGAAGTCTGAGTCTGTCTAACCACTCTGCCGTATACCTGAAACTAATACAAAATAATACTGAAATTATAATTGAAAAATATTAAAAAGAATATATTTCATTTTACATGTACTAAAATAAATTTTGTCCCACTGTATAATAGGTTTCTCTACTTTGTTTTAACATGTAGATGCATATATGGAGTCCAATGGACTTTGGTAAGAGGACCAACCTCACTTCTGTTCCACATTTTTGATGAATCGCACTGGAGACTTGGTTTACACACTATTTTATATGAGGTGCAAATTAAATTCCTTAGAATCAAGATTGATATTTTATATTCATATAACATAACTTTTTTAATCCACACTTCACATGAATTGATACTACACTATGTCATCCTACAAATTTTTTGCTTCAAGTTAAGCAGTCTGCTACCAAGCTAACAGAACTCAGTCATAACTTTCACTGCTACAATGACATCAAGAAACAAAATGAATCAGATTACAGAGTAGCCACAGAATAAATTGAACTTTTCAAGGAGTAAATCTCCTTAAAAACAATGATCCTAGAGTGGGCCAAGGAAGAAATTGCTTTGGAAAGTTTAGTAAATGCAAAATAGGCCTGGATTATGATTCCCTAATCCTGTTCTGTGAATCAAGTAACTAAGAAGAGACCAACTACTCGATTAGTGTATATATATATATTTTTTAAGATTTTATTTTTTATTTCTTTAGAGGGGAAGGGAAGGAGAGAGGGAGAGAAACATCAATGTTTGGTTGCCTTTTGTGTGTCCCCTGCTGGGAACTGGCCTGCAGGGGACTGGCCTGTAACCCAGACATGTGCCCTGACTGGGAATCGAACCACGATCGTGTGGTTCGCAGGTCCGCACTCAATCCACCGATTAGTATATTTTAAACCATGATCTCACCATCCATGAAAGTAGTAAGATAAAGATTTTAGTGAACTGGTAGTATTCAATCTTTTAAAAACTTATCATTGTAGAATTCTCATATACTCATGGCAGACTACATATTGAAGTACATTTCTATGGACGTATCTAAACAGTGCCTTTTCAGCCTGTGTTAAATTTCTGCAGACTACATGATATACTTTACTATTATCTATAGCCTTAAGTATAGTAATTTCTTTAAATGTCAGAATCAAACTCCTTTTCCCATAGGAAGATTTTCTGTATATTCAACTTTAGGTCTTACTTCCATATATTCCTATAACAACCTGTATTCTTCCCCTTCTTGTTAACACTCATCAAACTTGAAATAACTAACAACAGTTGACCTATTAATTGTGAGCTCCACTAGGGCAGAAGCCATATCTGTTTTGATCACCTCTGTATTCTCGGCACAGTGTTTGGCAAATACTGGTAAATATATATTATGAGGTATATACTGACAAAGAGTCAGAAAAAAATAACCATGACTTGATACAGTCTCTAGACTCTTTTACTATACTATAAATAAAATTAAGTACTTTTCACTTTCTACTTTTGTGATGGTAAATTCTGGATCTATAATTTTTAATGTGCAGTAAAATTCTGAGATTTGGACAGCGGAAGATAGCTAAAATTCTATACACTTATTTTTATGAAAATTCAGTTTCCTTCACATTCTTTAAAACACCAGGAACTAGTATCTTTAATTTGATTAAAAATAAAAAGAGCGCTTAGTTTGACTGAGCACTTAACAGAAGACATTAACCAAAAAACATACACCTGTGGTCATCTTTATAGTAGCTTTGAAAAATGAGTAAGTTTGCATATTTGGAAAGGCTAATTACTTAAACTTGAATCTGATTTTCAAATAGCTATAAAAATATTAAAATAAAATAGGTTATTTCCTTACCCAGGTCAGCAAATCTTCCCCAATTTGGTCAATAACAGAGGACTCATTCCTCTTTCGAACAGCTTTCATTTGCTCATTCAACCCAACTACAGGGGAAAAATAAAATGGAAAAAAATTAATCATATACTCATTTCAGGCTGAGTTACTGGTAGTACCAAGAATTTAAATCTTCTCCTTAAAATAAGTTTGGACACAATTCTTATACATCCACAAGGGAGGATCCCCCCAAAACCAGAATTATCTTCTGGAGGGTGGACCCCTTGTAAGTACAGGCTTCTCCCTCTAGGTGAGTGTTCTAGGGACCCATCTGTATCAGTGTACTAGCTGGCGTTGTTGTGAGAGGCCATGTTTGGCTTCAGTAAATTTTTTTTTGAAGACTCTTTCAATGCACTTGCTTATTTCATGATGGGTGATTTAGGAGCACACCTGCCCACACTGTGCTGAGTGTTCAGCAATTTTTGGCCAAAAACAGCAAGACCCCATGCCCCACCCTCTGTGTTTATCTGATCTCGCCCTGAACAACATTTTGGTTCCCCAGATGAAGAAAGTCCTCAAAGGGAAACATTTTGCTGATGTGGAAGAGGTTAAACAAAAAAATGATAGAATCAGTAAAAGGCATCAAAATCAACAAGTTCAAAAACTGTCCTGAGCATTGAAAAAAATGTCTCAATAGTTGTACTACTTCAAATGAAGAGTACTCTGAAGGTGACTGAAGTTTAAGCATGTAAGAATAAATAAACATTTTTATAAATAAATTCCAGGATTTTTGGGGTCTCTACTCACAGATATTTATGAGCTTTATCTGAAAAATAGGTGACAAACCATAAAACAATGTGAAACTAGCAAATTACATGCAGGATAAGCAAATCAAATATTCATTTAACTTCATGACTCCATCTATAACTGTGCTTATAAAGAACTTAAATTTAAATAGTGCAGGTGATTCTGTCTACTATTTCTTTCAAAATGTGTACGTTCACAGACAATGGATATAATCGAGCCTGAACTTATCAATGCATGCCAGTGAAACCTAAAATCATCCCCAATGAAATAAAAGGCTTCAACCTGGTGGGCAGGTATTGAAAGGTGATATAAGGGCATCCCTGAAAAAAGAAAAATGAAAAATTAAGTGTCACAGAGAAACAGTGACTTATAAAGAGAGGAACTGACAGTACTGACTAGAAAGTCTGAGATGAGTTCAACCAAGGGAAGCCAGCAAGAAAGAATTTTTTGATATTTACTCGAGTTCCGAGCAATAAATAAATACATACATACAATTCCTGAAAATGATACCATCATGGGGTTAAATACTATGTATTACTATTTTCAAAATTCATTTATACATATATATTATATGGGATATTTCTTTTTAAAAACATATACACTGTAATTGCTAGAAAATTTTTGAGGGTACTTTTGACTGCTCATGTTTTTCATCTTAAACACTGACATTAGATACTAAATCCTCTGTTAACCCTTTGTATAGAAAAGGCTGGTATGTGGTAGAGGGGGGTATATTCAAAGATGCTGTACGCATATATATAATTTCAGAAAAACGAACATGGATACACTTACAAGATTTTACTATTATGGTATCTTTATATACTCACAATCTCTTATCTATTGGAAATGTTAGGGACAAAGACCAGGGTCAATTTCTCTTACTGTGAAGTTGAAGAATATCTTCTAAGTTTGAAAAAATTTTCCGTAGCTCTGAAGGTGACAGAATTCCTTCTCTGGACACTCGCTGATAGAACAACTGATCAAGGACCTTTAGTGTTCGAACATGAGCTCTTTCAGTATAAAACAATTCTAAAGAGAAAAAAAGGTAAATATAAATATTGCCTGGCTTATAATAATTCCATGAAAAGTCTAGCACTAAACTTATACCATACATTGTTATTACAATATTATCAACTATATTCCTATATGCTTTAGCTGAAATTAACTAGCAAACAAGTTATATAATATTTATTTATAGTTTAGAAACTGTGTGGTACTCTAAAGTCAATTTCTTGATTCCATAGAACCCTCCTACATATTAGCTGTAAGAATTTAATACTGGCAAATGAAAAACATCATTCGAAACCATTTGGTAATTAAAAATTAAGTGTACTCCAAAACCTGCACTTCAAATTTAACAGTGTACTCCGAAACTCATGTGCCTTTTCATTAACACCCACCAATCACAACTATAACATTAGAAAACTGTAAGCCCAAACATCATAGAGCCTTTAAATTGAGCCCTCCTCATTAGTAACAGTACTTTTGGTTATCTAATTTGCCTAAAAACCCTCATTTCTGAGGCCAGACTTATAACTCCACTATGTCTTAATGTTATCAAGGACAAGAGGATATTTATTCAAATCATATTCTAAAGATAGTAGAGGGTACAGCATTCAAGTTGCATCTGTTACGTAAAATACTTGGATAAAGAGCATTGCATTAGGATAAAGCAAGACCTAGATTCTAGTTTTCTCCCTATCACTTATCAGCTATGATCTTTATTTGTTCAATTACCTGAGCCTTAGCACCCTCATTTATAATCTATGCATAAATTAACTTAGCCTGAAAGTAAAGTGATTGGGCAATGTTGTCTTAATAATTTTGTGAGTTATAAAGTTCAAGGATCACTTATATAGCTTAATTTCCTCTTTGTTTAAAAACAAAAGGGAAACAGAAACTGTGAAGCAAACACCACAGCTTGGAGTATTTTCTATTCTAATAAAACTCACTGTATGTAAACAACAACAACAAAAACTAATTAAACTCACCATTAATTACTTCCTGTCTTTTGATTTCACAAGGCTTTAGTCCCAATAATACTTCTCGACTAACGAGCTGTTGCCAGTTGGGTGGATCTGTCTCTAAGTCATTTTCAAACAGTTCATCTTCACTTTGACTTTCTCCAAAACCTATGTTGTCAAACCTAATGAAAAAAATGATGATGAATTCTTTCTGAGGCACCAGGCAGACAATAGGAAATAGCAATAGTCTTTACATTAATTTGTCTGATAGACTGTGTACAGTATTTCCTTAAAAAAATTTTTGGTCAATGACAGTTGACATACAGTATTATTAGTTTTAGATGTAGTAACACAGTGAATAGATGTGTTTATATAACTTATGAAATGATCACCCTGATAAGTTTAGTATAATATCTATCTTACACCATAGTTATTATAATATTGGTTATATACCCTATGCTGTATTTAGTATTTCCATGACAATATTTATAACTGTCAATTTGTACTTCTTAACCCCTTCACCTTTTTCTGCCATCACACCCATCTCACTCTCATTTGGCAACCATTGACTGTTGTCCAAATCTATGGAAGTTTTTGATTCCCCATATAGTATTTGCCTTTCTCTGTTTGACTTATTTCACTTAGCATAATACCCTCTAGATCCACAATGTTGCAAATGGCAAAATTTCATTCTTTTTATGGCTCAGTAATATTCTACCATATATATGTTTACATCTTCTCTGTCTACTGATGGTCACTTAGGTTTCTTCTATATCTTGGCTACTGTACATAATGCTGCAATGAACACAGGGGTGCCTATCTTTTCAAATTAGTGTTTTGGACTTTGCAAATAGATATCCAGAAGTGAAACTGATGAGTAATATGGTAGTTGTGTATTTAATTTTTTGAGGAACACAGTGTTTTCCACAGTGGTTAACAGTACACAAGGATTCCCTTTTTTCCACATACTCTCCAAAATGTGCTGTTTGTTATTAATGACAGCCATTTGAAGCACGTCAGGTGGTATCTCACTATAGTTTTAATTTGCATGTCCCTGACGACAGTAGATGTTACTGCATCAGTAGATACTACCCATCCGTATGTCCTCTCTGGAAAAATGTTTATTCAGCTTCTCCACACATTTTTAATCTAAATATTTAGGAGGCTTTTTTGGGTATTAAGTTGTATAATTTTTCTATATATTTGGAAATTAGCCCTTTATAGGATGTATCATTGGTGAATATTTTCTCCCATTCAGTAGGCTGTTTTGTTGATTATTCCCTTTGCTGTGCAAACTTTTTAGCTTCATGTAGTCCCATTTGCTTTTTTCTTTTGGTTCTCTTGCCTGAGGAGACATATCCAAAATCCTATTATTAAGAGTGCTGGCAAATAATTTACTACCTATGTTTTCTTCAAAAGGTTTTATGGTTTGGGATCTTACATTTAAATCTTTAATCTGTTCTGAGTTTATTCTTTTATATGGTATAAGAGAGTGATCCAGTTTCATTCTTTTGCACATATCTTTCCAGTTTTCCTAATACCTTTTATTGAATAGGCATGAGTTTATTTCTGGACTCTCTTCTGATCCATTGATCTATGTTTTTATGCCAGTACTATACTGTTTTGATTACTACAGCCCAGTAGTGTAGTTTGATACCAAGTAATATGATAACTCCAATTGTGTTCTTTTTTCTAGAGACCTCTATTCAGGGTCTTTGGTTCCATATAAATTTTAATATTATTTGTTCTAGCTTTATGAAAAATGACATTGCTATTTTGATATGATTTCCATTGCATCAACAGATTGCTTTGAGAAGTATGAACATTTTAGTGATGTTAATTCTTCCTATCTAAGAGCACATGCTATACTTTTATTTGTATGTTCTTCAATTTGTTTCCTCAATTTCTTAGGGTTTTCTGAGTATAGGTCTTTTACATCTGCAAATAATAATAGTTGTCTTTATTCCTTTCCAAACTGGATGTCTTTTAGTTATTTTTATTGTGCTTGCTGCAGCTAGCAATTCCAATACAATGTTGAGAGGCTGCATTGGTTGAGAGGCTATGAGCCCTCGTCGAAGAAGGTATACCTATTCAGATGGGATTCAGCACCTTCATCCCACTGTAAGGGACAGAGGCACCAACACTTTTGGTTATGCTGCCAGTGTGTCTTAGATGAAAAGGGAAAGGGGAATTTCTTTAAGGGCCACCTCTTACAGCCATTTGGTTTCAGTCTTCCTTCTCCTCCCTCTGCTTTTAGGTATACTAGGAAGCTAAATGGTATATGCTTTGAGGTATACTGTTAGCTAAATAACTAACAGTCAAGACTTGAATGAGTTCCGGGTTCTGGGTTTCGGCCGTCTCCAAAGATGAAAGGCATTTCCTCCCTCTGGCCCAAGTTTCCGGTGTCCCTACATGAGTGGGGGCCTAGCAGAGGTGTCTGGGGTCAATCCAGGGGCCTCATAGGGAACTCCAATCACTGCAATGTAACTTTTGGCTTATCTGGGGATGTGTGACATAAGGGTTGGTCATCCAGTACTCCGAGCCCTCCCAGCTGTTTTAGACGACTGGGAGAGAAACCGAGACATGTAAGAGAGGTAGGGATGACCAAAGAGTGACACCCTTGGGAGTGCCCCTCACAAGCAGCACACTTTGACCCATGACATTTATCTCAGTCCCCAGCTATCAGCCAGAAGAAGCTTACAGAACAAGGTAGGTAGAGACAAGGCAAAGGGACACAAAACTGTAAGTTAAAATACCCCAGCCGCAAAAAAGGGCTCAGGGCTTTCTAAGGAGCAGGATGTATATTTTCGACTGCTTTAGCAGCTTAAGGCTGAGGGATGTCAGGTTAAAGAAATTAATTTAATTAACTTATTACAGACAGTAAAGAGCTACTCTCCATGGTTCCCAGAGAAAGGCTCTTTACATTTAAAAGTATGGGAAAAAGTAAGGCAGAAACTAAAATGGCATTAGGAAAACGGGACCTTTATATGACATCAGAATTTACTAACCTGGAGCATAGTTAGAATGGCTCTTACCCCTATTCACTCTAGAAACCCTTATAAATCAAGAAAGCTTAGACATAAAAGAAGGAACCTTTCATGACTGCCGAACCTAATAATAAAAACCCGCCGCTGCAAAAGGAGGGTGATGGCTTCCTTTCCAGCCTTCCTTCGGCCCCACTATGGGGCAACTCACTGGAGGATCTACTTCCTCCCCCTCCTCCTCTATTATATTAGCCTCTGGCCTTTAGCCAGACTACTACCAACATGCAACCATGTCTTTGAGAGGCTGCAAAAGCTGGAGACTGGAAAGCTCTATCTGCTTTTCCTATTGTTACTAAATAGCATAGGCATCTAATAGCATAGATCAGAATATACTGATCACTGCTGCTGCCGAGCTGAGAATAGCAGAAGCTGAAACCCAATCCAGCTTAAAATGCTTCTTGGAACTGAGCGATAAGAATCCAGTGAAGAGCAAGAGGAAACAGACCCTCCAGCTTTCTCCCGGTGCTCCCAGGCTGCTCTCCATGCCCTGAAGATAGTTCTGGAAGCTAAAGTCTGGGGACCAGGGTCCTTCATTAATATTTAGCAAGGAGCCACAAAGGCTCACTTAGCCTTTTTTGATACACTACAAGAAGCAATACAAAGACAGTTTGAGAGTCAGGAAGTAGCTGAGACCCTTTCATTACAACTGGCTTATGAAAATGCAAATAATGATTGCAAGGCTGTACTCAATCCTCTCAAACTAACCACCAGTAATACGAGTCAATTTACCAAGGCTTGCCAAAACACTGGCATGGAACAACATGAGCCATGTTGCTAGTGGCTGCCATAAAGGGGGAAATTAAACGCTTTAATTGTGGCAGACCAGTATACACCCATCAGGTGTGCTGAAACAAACAACAGAATAACCCAAAAACCCTGCCCAGTAAAGATTGCCCATAATGTGGCAAGGGCAAACATTGGGCCAATCAATGCAGATCCAAATATGATAAAAATGGCAAACCACCTCCACCTGAAAGAAATGGGCTTGGCAGGGGTGGGGTTGCGAACTCCAGTGCCCCAAATTCCAACAGGAGTTTTCCAGGCAGCCGCAACCAATTGTTTGGGACTCAGGACAGAGTCACTGATCTCTGCGCTGCCACAAGAGGAAGCTCAAGATTGGACTTGGTCACTACCCAGGAACTCATCTTAAGTGAACAGGATAAAATCCTCATAGCTCTTACGGGGGTATGGGGATCACTACCTGAGGGCACTACTGGATTGACTTTATTAGGAAGATCTAGCATTACCACTAGATTTTAGCTGATTTTGGTCCAGCCTGGAGTATTGATTCTGATTATCAGGTAGAAATCAAAATTATGATCAGAACCTTTGGATGTTGTGTCATTCCTGCCCAAACTTATATAGCCCAACTTCTTCTTCCCTATACAGTGCCAAATACTCAGAATAGTAAGAAAGGGGAAAAAGGCCTTGGTAGTACTAATAACCAATCTGTCTTTTGGGCCGTGTCCATCAAATTAAATAAAACTTTTTTAGAAGTAACGATAAAACACAGAACCTTCATGGCCTGCTAGATATGGGAGCAGATGTCTCTCTAATTTCTAGCCAATTTTGGCTTCCAGATTGGCTGCTAGAAGAGGCCAACATATCCATAACTGGCATAAAAGGTGTTTCTCAGCCACACAGGTGCTATGGCCCTGATGGACAGGTAGGGCAAATTCAGCCCTATGTCCTTCCAGCCCCACTTAGTACTATTTGGGGACAAGACCTTCTTACTTACTCTGGGAAATGAAATCACCCTCCCACCTTTTTGCTTGGGGACACTGTTCAAATATCTCCTTTACCCCTCACATGGCTTTCAGACATGCCTGTGTGGGCTGATCAGTAGCCACTGAAAGGAGAGGTTAAAAAAAACACAACACCATGAATTAGTACAACAATAATTAGAAGCAGGACATATTGAGCCATCTAACAATCTGTGGCATACTCTGATTTTTGTAGTTCCTAAAGAACTAGGGAAATGGAGGCTTGTACATGATCTTAGAAAAATTAATGAGATACCTTAACCAATGGGCACTCTCCATCCTGGAGTCCCAAATCCAGCCTGCCTAGCTAAGGATTGGGCACTTATAGTCATTGACTTAAAAGATTCTTTTTTTTTTTACAACTCTTTGGCTGAA